TGGAGTGACGGTGCCATGCGAAACCTTGTGTCCCAGGTACTCAATGGAGGTTCGAGCGAATTGACATTTCTTTAATTTCAGCTTGACGCCTTCGCTTTTGAAAGTTTTCAAAACGCCCTCCAGATGCCTCAGATGGTCTGGAAACGTGTCAGAGTAGACAACAATGTCATCGAAGTAATTCGTGACGTTCTGCAAACGGTGTTTTGCTAATACGAATTTGACAGCCCGTTCGAAGGTGGCCGGAGCATTCCGAAGGCCAAAAGGCATGACGAGCCACTCGTAGTGACCGGTACGTGTGACAAACGCCGTTTTAGGAATGTCATCAGGGTGAATCTTCACGTGCCAGTAACCTGACGTTATGTCTAATGTCGAAAAGTACGTAGATTTCCCCAGAGAATCGAGAACGTCATCGATGCGAGGGATGGGCTGATAATCAGGCACCGTCAATTCGTTCAGCTTGCGGTAGTCGATGCAGAAGCGCGTGCGTCCTTCCCCTTTTTTCTCTGCCATAAGTGCTGGCGCAGCGTATGGGGAGGTAGATAGTCGTATGACACCTTGCTTGAGAAGCTCATTGATCTGTCTGTCCATTTCAACGCTGTCAGTTTCGGAGCATCGATAGGGAGCTCTACGAATGGTATGCTCGTTTCCCTGGTTGGTGGAGAGGGCGAAAACGCTTGCGCGTCGTGGGCATTCATTATGCCAGTGCATCTGTCGGGGTAAGCCATCCATCGCGCAGTGTTTGCACGCACGGGTGTTCGTACCGGGGAATTACGTGGACGCTGACTAGTTCTGTCACTTGTTACGTTAATCTGTGTATTCCAAGCTGGTGGAAAGCGATGTAACTTCATTCTCTGCATGGTTGACTCTACACGAAGTGCAGCTGTAAGCCATGCCTCTGGAGTAGACGAGGTAAGCCCAGCAAGCGCCATCTCCATATGCGCAGGAAGGCCGTCGATGAGCCCTGATATAAGGTGCGTGTCTTTTAAGTCGGCGAGGCGTCCGAGAGACATTTTTTCATTATAGTATTCCTGCAAGCTCTGGCCTGTTCGCAACCGGCAATGAATGAATTGGCGAAAAGTATCCGCGACGCCGCTCGTAAAGCGTCCCTTCATGCGTTCACATAAGCTCTCCCAAGACGCGTCTGTGTCGAAAACCTCGGTGAGAAACCATCGGAAAGCCTCACCTTCAAGGTAATCGGAGAAGTAGCACAGCTTGTCTCGCTCCGTCCATGCTGCGGCCGCAGTCCTCACCTCAAAGGGGACGTCCGTAGATGCTCCAGAGTACTTCGGGATGTTGATGACTTTCTTGGATGTGGCCATGATGAAGGGCATGATAGATCCTGTCGACTCGTGTGACGCAGGAGGCGTGATGGCTGTACGATGAACCATTTATTTGTCTTCGTCTTCCTCCTTCTCTACCATTCCACCACACCGTTCTCGTGTGGTTCATCACATATATATATATATATATATATATATATATATATATATATATATATATATATATATTTATATATATATATATACGTGTGTGTGTGTGTGTGTGCGCGTGTGTGTGTGTGTTCGAGAAATTTTGTAATTGTCCCTTTAGCAGAATGCTTACACAGCTATTGTGTTACCCCTTTTGTTGTACGTAGTTTTTGTTGCAAGGGAAACTTCGAATATATTCTCGGGAATTCGACAGCGAGGTTAACTCGTCGAGATAGATAGTGTACGCATAAATAGAAAGACGTAGCAAACTTTGAAACACACGCCAACACAAAGAATTGCTCAAGTAGGTGGTATGCGACATTTATTTAAAAAATAACGAAAAGAACAAACAAATGACAGCACAGGAAATTCCAGGAAATTCAAGCTGGTGGAAAAAATCCCACGATCGGTGTCTATATGTCAGCTGACGACTGTAGCGTAAATGTTCATTTAAATTCTAGAGTTAAAACTCCATAACAACACAACATAGCAAAAGTGTGACTTAGTGATATTGCGGATAACCTTTGATTCCTTGTATAGTTATTTATTAGGCGTCATATTCTTGGTAAAAGCAGCGAATTGGTATTCTGCTCTAATCAAAGTAAGGTATGGATTAGATTGCTATGTAAGCCTACATGTGCACAAGATAAATTGTTGCTTTCCTCTCGCTGCCTTTCTTGTTCGTGTTGCTTTTTAATAACAATATTCTGCTCTCACAATGTTTGTACTGGGTACTAGGTTACACGAGCACACCATTATTAATCGCGCTATTTCTGTTGCTTCGTCCACCCCGTTGAATCGGTGCAGTGCTCGGCTGCTGACTCGAAGTTCACGGGTTCGATCACGGTCGCGGCGGTGGCGTTTGTGTGAAGGCGACAAGGTAGGGGCCTGTGTACTGGGCGATGTGAGTGCACGTTAAATGACAACAGATGGTCCAAGTTTCCACAGCCCTTAACTACGGCGTCCCTCATAATCGCATGGTTGTTTTGGGAAGGAAAACCACAAATAATATTACTCTTCTTGCTTTCTAAAACCAGAGTACGTCTTACTTGGGCTGCAAACATGAGTTTAAAATGATCAATTAGGAAGTTTCTTTCCATTGAACGGAACCTTAGCTTTGAGGGTAGGGTTGTGGAAATATAACTAGTTGAAGTAGCAAAAACTAGGAAAGGGAACTGAGAGTGCAACACTCGGAAGAGTCACCACGAAAAAGGACACGCGAAAAAGTCGAGCGTAAACTATCACAGAGCGTAACATAAATATGCCATCTGAACAGAACAACAGCGCAGAATTGTGCAGCTACTACAAGTACTAGCACATGTTACAATTCAGAAAAGACCATTCTGCATCAAAGAACAATATATCGGCGTCGCTAACACAGCTGACCGTCATCTTGGTAGTAGGTAGTTGTCACTCGCTCTTTATGCGTGTCATCTTTTGTGGTACCACATTCCAGTTTTGCGCACTTGTGAATAACCAACCAGACCCTCAACACGTCCTGAGAGTAGCTATAGAGTACGTCCGTTCTCGATGCAGGCCGCTTTAGTATACATCCCGTCCGAGACCAACTGCATTTTCAGCTATGATGCGCCAGAAGTCTCAAGAAATGCGGTGGCGCGAAGTAAGCGAAGAACCACGACAATCAATAAGCTGGAGATAGAGTTTAGGACCTCCACGAAAACGGCCGTGTTTAAACAATGAAGCCTTCAAATCTACAGTGACATCTATCAATCGTGTATATGCAGCTGTAAAGCAATAACAATCTTTTATCTCATATTGTGATTTTTCGCTATCGCACTATACGTCCTTTTGTTTTTTCTAAGAAGATGATTCGTATACATGCCGACAGCCTGCTTAGTCAGCCTTAAAAAAGAAAAAAAAAAGAAAGAACGAGATAGAGAACTACCGTGTACAGGTGGCTAAAGCAATGTGCTCATCAAAAACAGAAACAATGGACGTAGTACTCGAAGACAATTAAACAACTCACTGATCACGATTAAAACGAAATAAAAGCACAAAGTTTCGGCCCCTGTACGGGAGCCTTATCCACAAGTGGAAAAACTTCCCAAGTGTTCACAAATTTTACAAGTTAAAAAACGTGTGGTGTTTTTTTCACTTGTGACTAAGGCTGCCGTACGGGACCAGAACATCGTGCTTTTATTTACTTTGATCGTGGTCAGTGTGTTAACTTAGTTGTCTTCATGTTTGTTCCTAACCAGACGGGTTTCCGCCTAGCTATCGATTTGAGACGTAGTACCTAAATCAATTACAATCAATGGTCTTTTTTTTTTGCTTGTGGCTTCGGATAAATGGGTTTGAAACAATCAGTACAGGATTGTTCCTACTGCTATTCCAGCTTAAAATAAAAGCCGATTAGCTGGCTAATTCATGCGAGTGCACGCCAGTAGGAGAAAGAAACCTAGACGGCTTTGAGCGCTTCCTGTGGGACCTGTAAACGTAACTCGCCGCAGGCGGCTGAATATATTACCGTCGCTTGAATTTTAATCAGAATTTTGGCATGATGTGAACAGAAAAAATTCCCGAAGGAACACACACACACACACACAATTTTGTGACGGCATGCGTTAATATTGAAGTCCAGTTGAGCGACCCCTGACGGTAGACTTGCTTCTCTGGTCTTTGCTTCGTTTACGCCGTGCTACTGTGCCTTGACGGATCTTCAAGTATATCTTAACGACGAAGAAAGTTTTGCTACAGTTAGGGTAATCATAGATGGCAAAATATTTCGTCCCTGCGTGGGCACGTGCACGCAGCTCTACGCTCACGTAGTCGCAGGTGTGTGTCACGGGAGCAGTAGCGTTGCATTGCCCTCACAAACAGACATGAAATAAAGGATAAGACTTACCTAGTGTTCTGTGTGGTGCCGAGCAAGCCTAATTTGGCAGAGCTAGTCATGCGCAACTGCCTCACTTGCTTTCTCTGAAAGGACGCCTTAATGGATGCAGATAGTGAAAAGAGAATAACAAGAAAATCGGTGTCAGCATGTGGTAACGGAAAGAATAATGTCCACGAAGACCTTTGCCTGCTTAGTGGACGGAGTCATTTTTCAGCAGTATTATGGCAGAACTACCATCCACAAGGATGAACCACAGCTCCGGTTACGTCGGCAGTGGACAACGTTTTTTTTTTAGAACGACCTCGCTTATAGGAGGGATTTCAGGGACTACATGTTTCACGATGTAATGTAATCGTGCAGTTAGGACTGCACATTCGGCAAGTTATACACGAGTGACCGAAATTTATCGACAATGAAAACCATTGGCTGGCTCGAGGAATCATGCGCATCTAAAACAGGCCCGATAATTACCAGTTTCACAAGACGCAGCTGAAATAAAATAAAGAGCGATACTTTCAGCTTGTCCGCGCAGCTTTCTCTCCGGTCGCTTTGGCAGCGGATCACGTTGCGCGAACGTGTTGACGATGAGCCCGATTGTCGGCAGGGAAGGCCAAACGTCTGCCCTCGCCATTTGCGAATCCCTTTCCTCTGAAAACCGACCATGTGTAGCGAAGTCGTGGTAAGGCGAATTTAGACATACGCGTGCTGCCTGCGAGACGTGCGTCAACCGGCCCCGGATCAACCCACAATGTGGTCACAATGAAATTGGAGTAACCCAAGGAGAAAAAGAGAAGAAAAAAGCTTTAACGTACGCTCATGACAAGCGTCGTGAATCGCCCCAATCAAGTGCTTTACCTTAATTATTGAAATTGAAACTACTACCAGGTTGGACACCACGATGGTTTGGTTTCGGAGAGAAGATGCATCAAGACTCGTGTTATATCTCGCATTGGCACTGCTGGTATGCTCGTGTGCGACGTTGTGCGACGGAAAGAATGAGGGTAGTCATTTTACTGCGTCTACCGAAGAGCACGAGGTCAAGTATTTGGATACGCTCAAGGAATGGATCGCAAAGGCCATGGACCGGGCCCCACGCGATGTTATGCGAAAAATCATGGCGGCAAACATCTCTGTCGATTGCAGCATTGGCCTCCTCAAGTTAGTGCGCGGAATTCGCAACCTGGAACCGTGGGTTCTACGACGTGAGTACTTGAGGGCCATACTGGCTGTGGTATTCTGCGGTTAGGGCTTGCTGCTCGTTTTTCCACGTGGGCTATGTATGAAGGTGTAAATAAGGCTGGTGGTGTATGTGTTTGACAGATATTGGCCGCCAGTTTTGGTGTTAAAAAAGTGACGTGTTAAGTTTATGAAGATACTGTTCTCATTTGATCTTGCAATTTTTTTGAAGTAATTTTTGTTTTCTGTCTATTTTTATTGATAAAATACCTCAAGTATGTGCTACGCGTACAAAGTAGTTGCAATATTATTACAATATTATTGCAAAATACCAACTATTCTCATCAAGAACTTGACCTACCTGTAAGCAAACATTTATAAAATGTACCTGTAGTCAGAAAGTTTCATTAAAAAATCTTCAGAGTGAAAACCGTACTAAAAATCACATAGATTGTTATCCCTTAAACGTGTTTATTAGCAGCGTACTTTTGCAGAGCAACACACGTGCGCGATCACTGCTAATGGCCCAGGTGGCCCGAACCACCTTTCTCGTGGTAATCCCAGTGCCCTCTGAACGCACCGCAATCGAATGAGCGCTGCTGCATGCAGAGATATTCTGAAAAACGCCGTAAGCGACAGTGACTGATTCGCAACAACCATCGAGGTCTCCAGTCTTGCCAAAGTAACATGTGTAGCGGAGTGGATGGGTCACGCAAGGTAGCTATAAGCAAAGCTTGGCAGCATTTTGAAAACTCTGTCGTAGTTTTCGCTATTAAAAAATACACAAAGGGTGAGAATGCACAAGTGGCTGACGGTGATGCATCCTCACCCCTTTATGGTTGGAGGGGCAGGCCCTCGCCTTGGAGGCGCTTTCTCCTGTGGTCGTTTCATATTCGGTAGGGTAGTACGAAACACACATTGTTCACATTAGGGCGGCGTTGGGACATGATGAATGCCTGTGTGTCCACTGCAGTAAGTCAATGAGTTCGGCAGTACGCTGCTGAGCTCGAGGTCCCGTGTTCAATCCTATATTTGAAGACAGCGTTCATATGTAGGCATAATGCACAAATGCTGGTATGCTTACACGTTAAAAACCCCGTGCACCTCAAATTTATGTTCTATTCTCCACTATGGCATGCTTATAACTGTATCTCTGCTTTCGTACGTAAAACTAGTATTTGAAGTAATTAAAATTTTTATTGTTGCATCATTCCCATGGGAGCCCTGTGGATTTCGAAACCTTATATGTATAGTAAACATTCAATCAGGTGAAGCCTTCTCCGAGAAATATTTCAATACAAGATTTTGATATATATATATATATATATATATATATATATATATTTGAACTGTAAAATTGTAACTGTTGTGTGTAGATATTTAAAAAAAATATCAAGGCACGCGAAAATTTCGCCAGCGCCCGAGAGAAATGAAACAGTTAGGTCGCATGCGCCGCGCTTGCTTAGGCGCCGTCGAGCGCAACACATAGCAATCGAGAAAATGAAAACTTTGGAGTTTTGGGAGCCATAACTATGATGCGATGTTGAGGCACACTGAAGTGGGTGGCTCTGAATAAATGCAGATGACCTCGTGTTTCTAAACATACTCCTAAATGTTAGTGCGCGTGTGAACAGCAATATGTAGACTCAATACAGTTGCTTGAGATTCATGTTTAAACAACGCAGAACACGAGAAAGAGGAGCATATGCACAAGGCGAGCTTTTCTTCAAATTATACGATCTTTAAACTTAGGCACACGTGTCTACACTAGAGTTTTAGGTTGCAGCGCAAGCACTTAGTTAAACACCAGGTGTCACCTGAGCTCCAGCGACATCTCTGTCCAATGATTTCTCATCTTTTCAAGCTTCGATCTACCCTTGAAGTATTCGTTGTTTGCGTTTTCGCGGTGGCTAACGTTCTACAACATACGGACATTGAATGTAGGCTCGTTGTAGCGTTTCTTCGGCCAGAGTTGATTTTGTTTCAAAAGAAACTGCGTTTTTTATTGCACATTATTATCAAACTTCTCCCAATACAACGACAAGTATACAGACGCGATGGTTCCTCCGAACATTAATGTTTGCTAAATGAATGCGCTTTTACAGTTTTAAAAAACCGTAACATGGATATATGCACAGATTTGTCTTTGCTCTCATCTTTGACACATTTTTGACACATTTGGATGCAGCAAAGGGTGCATGCAGATTTGGGGTGGAGCACTGCAGAAACACAAAACTAAACACACTGGGTGGGTGCTGTAACTACAGGGAGAGCGAAAAAAGGGGAAAAGAGGGCAATGAAGGAAGGAATGAAACGCAATGTGGTCAACTTTAGATTGCCATCGTTAGCTCCAGGGTAGTTTCCATTCGGTTGGAGACACGTTGGCCAGTGTTTGATAGACGTTGCTCGTCTATTCCCTCTTCGTAAGTTCGATTTCTGCGTTCAATTGCTCAAAGTTATTGACATGTAATCTGTTGGAGAAAGACGCAATCGCGAATGTGATGATCCCTGAAAAATTGGCCCCGTATCTGCATGTCATACTGCGAATGTCGTCGAAAGACGATAATGTTGCGTCTGGAAAGAGTGAATAAAACGTTTATTTGATGTTCTATGCAAGAAAATCGGTAATTGGTATTCTAGAGGCGCTGCGTCAGAGTGCCTCGAACGTGCGGCGGAGGCGAACGAGCGCATCAAGTCACGTCACACGTGAGGCATGAGCACTGTCTGGCAGTCACCTTGAAAAACGAAGCGCGCGCGGCGTGCGCGCCCGTCTTGGAGGTGATAAGGTGTAGAACGCGAGGCGACGGGTAGGTGCCACCACCTTGCCGTATTAGCAAAGCGTTGGAAACACTCGCCTTTTCGTGCAAGCATGACACCTTCAGCGCAACGTGATAAGCGCTACGGTGATGAGTATTGCTTATGTATGTCTTTTCTAGTAAAAAGGCACACATACATACTATTGACGTCTTGTTATAGTGCCTCAGATATGCGCAATATTATCTTTTCACTTGACAATTGCACAAATATGCACGCTGAATTTTGAGCAATATTGGTGGGCGCTGCGGATGGGGTCGGCGGTTTCGGTTGTCGTTAGGTGCCGTTTAGACTTTAGGGTATCGCTAAGGGTGGGCTCACTACATTGGCAGACGCGCATTGAACCCACAACAGTCCTTTGTGTATCAGTGTGAGGCTCACGGGACGGCCTAGTGCTCTCTCATATTAGAGAACCAAGTACTCTAAATCGTTCACGAGTTTTTTCTAAACATTAACACAAAAATGAACAGACAGACTAAAATTTTTTCGTCGAAGGTCCCCAAGAAAGACTAGTCTTCAATAACTATATTTGCTGGCAAAGTAAATAGGAGCCGCCCCCTTTTCTCCCACGGAAAAACAAGCCCAAATCAGCTTTATATGAACGGAATTGGCAACCTTGTTCATTCAATGCCTCGCATGCTTTAAACACTGTATTTGGGCTCCTCTTATAGAGAACCTCACCAGTGTCAGGCAGGAAATGCGCCTTTCAAAAAATAAAGGGCGGATAGAGTATAAAGGTTTCAGGGATATAAGGATCCAAGAGGTTGGTTCGTAAAACATTATTGATGGTCTGGCAGAACGTGCAAGTGCTTGTAATATAGATCTCGGGGGTGCATTTTGTGATGCAGGAGCGGGTTAGAATAGGTGCACACTTGGAACTGTCTCCAAGTGACAGCCTGCGCCCTGCATGCCGTAAAAACTTACGTTTACGCTGAAATAATATGCCCGGGTGATGGTGGATGCTTGAAATAATGAGGCGCGGGCGCGACATTAATTACAACAATTTCTCACCACTTTATACCTGTTCAGGATGCGAAATGGTATGAAGACACAATAAACCTGCCGAATACTTGGATATCTGCTAGCTGTAAGCTTTCTAAAGATAAGTGTTTTTACAGGTACCATAAATGTGACACTCAGTGAAAATAGGTATATCGCCGCGGCAGCCTTCAGAAGCGATGGCTTTGCACTGCATATCTCGAGTTCAGGGTACCGATCACAGCCAGGTTGACTGTATTATGTTGAGACAAATGTCAAAAAAGAAAAAGAAACTTGATTGTAGTTGAATTTAGGAGCAAAGTATACAAACTTATAGGTGTTTGAAGTTATGGGAAACTCATTGCTGTGGCACACGCACTACTTATACCGTTGTTTCGGCTCATATAACAACCGAGCAGTTACAAAAACGAAGAGAACATGTTTCGGGAAGGATAGGGAGCAGAGCTGAGCGTCTGAAGCTTTGTTTGTTGTCCTTCCCTCGTTTATGAGCCTTCCACTCAGTCAACACAATAACGTGGACTTATCCAAAAAAAAAGAGATGAACGTGAGTAAAAATGCCACATTCTGAAATGTGGATTAGCTGTAGGTTGAGGAAGCCCGTCAGTGTTCAAAGGCAGGTGTGCAGACAAAGATGTAATAATAAACAACAAGCACAACACTAGCGTAGAGTAACATCCGGGAAAGTCTCACAGTGGTGTACATGAAGAAAGACAGTTCAGGCATAATATTTTTCTTTTGTGCCAGATAATTGAGGGCTAACTTACGCATGGTGTCTAAATTGTAACGAAGATAGAGCAATTTTTTTATTTCGCTCATATGCCCGAACAAATCTATGCTGCCAGTGCATATCAAGTTTACAAGCTGAGGTGGCAGTGCGATGAATCGTTAGAGGATGCTGCAGCGGTGAACGGTCATTCATGTGGAATAAACCAATTTGTACGCATATTGGCTGGAGATAGGTAGATAACGACCGTTTTCAAAGTGGTGTGTAAGCAGGGCGTCTTGTGGCATCGTTCCGGATTCTTCTCGAACGCTTTCTTCATTTTCGAGCAGCATGAGTATGGTGTCCTACACCTTACTTCTCAAATTTTGTCAGCTTCAACAAAAGCCTTATGGAAGGCGTATTATGCCGCCATCGAAGCGCGAATTTTGCATTAAACTGTCCCGAAGTGGCAATTTCTCTCATGTGTACAAATCTTCCACGTCAACTTTA